GACCCGGGACCCGGGTGGCCCCACGTGCCTTCAGCCAAAGGGTTGCACCTCGTCACCGCTTTGCTGTCGCTGGGCGAAGCAGCTTGGGACAGCAGGTGCGGGTCCCGCAAGATCTCATTCGCTTCCCTGCCTTTAATCAGTAGTCGTTAATGGGATGGAAAATGCAGCGGAGAAGTTGCGGTGTATTTTGGTCGCGCCATATGTTTCCTGTCCCTGTTTTGCTGGAGGGCTGGTGCGGTGCCTGGTCGTGCCACTTCGGAAATGGCTGAGAAAAACAATCCTTCTGTCTGTCTTCCCTTAACAGGGAAAAATGGGCACCTTTCGCCTCCAGGCTGCATGCTTGTGCCTTATAAAAGAGCTAACGTATTACATCTCAGCTGTTTCGAGACGAGTATTTCGTGTGGTGGTTCTGCTGATTGTGAATGAAGCTGGGATTTTGTTTTCCGTGTTACCAGGGATTATGAGACCCATTTATTATTTTTTTTCCGGTTGTTTTAGGTAGAGAATCGAATTGTTTGTCTGTCTGTCTAGCCATCTCTCCCAGTGAGTGTCTGTCAACACGGGTATTTGCAAGGTTATTTGTAATATATCGACATAGTAGAAAGAACATTTCCCTTCTGGTTGGCAAAGCAGTGGTACCTTCAAAGTGATCGGAGGCTGAATTGTGATTAAATAATGTATTTTGCAAAGTCCTGTGAGATCAAAGGAAAATTAAGATCAGAGAGGTTTGGAGAGCACAGGGGGCACGAGGCGGGCTGGGGAACATGCTGTGTTTGTGGCTGGGCTCCCTTTCTGCGGTGCGTCCTGGAAGCTCAGACGGAGGCACTGGTCCTACCCTCCGGACCGCATCCCTTCTTTGCTGGTATGCTTCGCAGGGCATGGCACCGGGCTTTCCCTGCCCGGGACCCGCAGAACGTTTGCAGGGAAATGGTTGTCTGGTGAACCTCCCCGTCCCCAGGAGAGTCTGGCAGAGGAGGAGGGAGGTATAACTCCTGGTGTCCGTTTACTCAGGAGGGCGGATTTTCCTGCCGCCAGATTCAGGAGAGCTCTGCAGAGGCACATTGATCACTGCTCAGCCCTCAGCCAGGACACCGTATCCTCACTGGCAGCTCAGGCACATCCTTCTCACGGTGTCAAGGAGAAGTCAAGTGCTTTGTAACGACAGCCGGGCAGTGGGTTCCCCACCCCGATGCACTTGGTGCCTTACAGCACGCTACAACCCTCGCTGCTTCGTGGCTTTCCTCATGTCCATGCTTTCCCACTTGCATTGCCTTCTTGCGTCAGTTCTTGCTCTCCTTTTCAGACCCTTCTTTTATTTATCCCCAATCCATATTTTTGCATTACAAGTGAATTTTGCCAGCCGGGTCCTCGGAGGAGCCTCCCTCTGTTTCCAGCACAGCGCCAGTATCTGCCACATCCATCCTGCTTCCTCCACTCAGCCCCCTTCACCTCCCACACCCCTCCCAGGCCTCCCCCCATTTACTTAACCCCTCTTTCCCTGTGTTAATTAGGTGTTGCCTACCAACCCAGAGGAAAGCTGGCAGGTCTACAGCTCTGCCCAAGATAGCGAGGGACGTTGTATATGCACAGTGGTGGCACCTCAACAGACGATGTGCTCTCGTGATGCCAGGACAAAGCAGCTGAGACAACTATTAGAAAAGGTAACGGTTGACCCCTTCTGGGAAAGGTGGTTTGGTTTGGCGTGACACTGGGGGTAAAAACCCGAGCGAGCTGGGCTGAGCCTTGGTTTCCAGGGAAGACAGACCCCTTGGGCCAGCCCTCCGGTGCCGAAGCTGTCCCCATGCGTGTAGTGGGGAATAATCAGCCGCAGTCGGGAGTTTAAATCTCTAGGTCTTTCTGAGGCACAGAGGAAAAGGGCCCGTGGCCTAAGGTCAGGTTAAAACTGCTGAGATCAAAGCAACAATATTGAACCACATTGCTAAAAAAAAAAAAAAAAAGATGTAATTTACTCATTTTTTCCATTACGTTAACACAAGCAGTTTCGAAGGATAAGCCTCAACAAGATGAGGGAAGACAGAATTAAAAACCCAAAGCCCGTGCATTCCTAGCCAAGCTGATATTAAAAAGGTCGAATAAAACAGTACAAGCTGTTGACATCAAATAGCACAGAAATGACAGTTAGTGGTTTTCTTTCTAATGTTGACGTCCACCTGATTAGTTTTTAATAGTCTGCTGTCCAAAGAGATCAAAGAATCTCATTAGGGAAACATTCCCGATAACAAGTAATTTTCCAGATAATAGATTTCATTGAAGAAATGCTGTTTCATGTGAAATGGTGCTCTTCTCTTTAAAATATAAGTGGACTCCTGTGCCTAATGCTATGTTGGCATGTGCTGTGCATGACAAAATAATTTTATTCCCACTGCTTTTGGGAAGTTGATGTATTAGTCACTCATAACAATATTAAACCTACACTTAACTGATTTTCCTGTGTGATAAGGACAGTACAGTGAGGCAGCCCTAAAACACTTGTCGGTCTGTCAGAGGCTTCTAAAAATAATCCCACTCAAGCTTTTATTTCTCTAAGCAATAACAGCAATTGGTCCAATAAGCACATTTGTCTAAGAGGCAGCAGGCGTTATATTAGCAGCTGACACGGGCATCCGAGAGCCGTCATGTTCCCAGAACTGCTCATACGCATTAAACAAGCAGGATTTGACCCAATACCCTCTGCTAATGGACAGGCGAGTTGGGCAATACGAGACCTGGGATAACATCAGTTCCCGTGCGGAGGGTGTAAGTGCTCAGTGATTTTTCCCTTATGCAGCTCTCCGGCTGCCAATGAATAAAGTGAGGGAGGAGCGGTATTTCAAGACATGTTCTGGGGATATGTTACCTGCTTGCTAATCTGTCTGCATCTCACTCCTACGCTAACCTATATGAAAACCCCAAAATAAAGAATAGGCTCGTAGTGCCAGACATCTGATCTTGACGAAGGCTGAAATGATAATCCCTATAGGAAAATGCAACTGCAGAGAAGAGCTTCCAGCTTCCCAGGAAGGATTTCAAACCTGAAAACTCCTTCCCTCATCTGACATTTTAACTCTAGCTTTGTGATGGGAAAACTCGCGTCCCCTGGTTTCTCTCTGCCAGCAGATGAAGAAGCATAACGTGTCAAAGAGGTAATTGTGTTTGGATTTTCAAAGGAGGAGACCGGGCAGTCACCTATGGAAATAATAAGACATTGCTTTTATGGGCAAGAAATGAGCTGTGTTTGTGTGTGTGTGTGTGTGTGTACACGAGCCAATTATAGCCTCTTCAGTGAAAATCTCTGCACAGAGGCTTCAGCAGCTGAATGTACTTCGGGGTTCAAAGCTGCCAGGACCCCATCTACCCTCAACACATGGGCACAGGCATATGCATAGAAACTGCAGTTCATGCTGCTTGCAAGTGAATCCTGGGCACCCCGTCAGTTTAAAGAGCAGGCGTTAAGTGAGGTAAGGTGAGCCAGGTCTGCTCGCCACCGCACAAACTGTTCAGCCCGTGTTTTGACACCGAGGTGTCTGAGCTCATCTTTGGCTGGAGTACACGGAGTCCTTCCAGCCTTATATGTGTCAGGTGCTGAGTCCAGATCTTGGACTGCATCCAAACCAAGACATCACCTAAATCCTGTTCATAAACAGATTATGTTTTATCTTCAAATGGATTTTTTTTTTTTTTTTTTTGGCCCCGTTATCTGAGAGGACTTCCTCCTCTGATGGTTAAACCATCTTTGGTTTCCTGCCAATTCTTACTCTTTGCCAGCACTGATTGCCAGATTAAACAGTTCTTTTTGTTCCTTTGATACTCACTCGGAGGTGTATATAGGGAGGACAATGACATCTCTTCTCAGCCTTCACTTTGCCTTCTACAGACCTTATAAGATGAACTTTTCATGTCCCGGTCCATCGGCTGAGTCCATCTCTCTGCTAATTCTTCCTATAGACCACAAAAATCTCCCTCAAGAATGCCTCATGCTATTGCTCCACCAGTTTGTCTGGCTACCCAAAGCTAAAGATTCATCCCAATTCAACGCCCAAAGATGGGCTTAGAACAGCTCTTTTGAGCTGGCATGAAAGGCTGATCCACAGGGAAGCTCGAGCAGGGTTTAAACCATTGCTTTGGCCATATAAATCTCACTAGGGTCATCAAGCCAATATTGACCCTCAGTTACTCTGGTTTAATTCTGAAACAACTCGGTGTCAAGCAATGACAAGAACAGCACTGGAAGTTTTGTTTGTATCAATTTTCTATTTCAAATGCTAAAATTAACTCTTTTCCCCAAGACAGTCGCAGGTATCTCTCTCCCATTAGCTTGATGGAAAATGAGGTTTCATGTTGAGAGTGCGTGCTCCACCAATGGAGGCAAAAAGCATTTTAGCTGATGTTTGAGAATAGCGGTTAATGGATGAACCTGAGAGAATTTGAGAAACAGTATCCTTCAGTCTCAGTTCATTAGAGCACTTATGTACATGCTTAAGTTTAAGCTATGAACAGTCTCATTGAAATCTCATCATGTGCCAAAGTACTTTGCTGGATCAAGGGCTTAATATGCTAATGAAGGAAAACAAGTAGATCTTTAGCTGATGAGGCTTCCGTCACTGTCAGAGATCAGGAATGATGGAGACCAACTCTTTACACATCTGGCCAGAATCTTGCCTGGTTGAAAACAATATGGGCAACAAATAGCGAGAGTCTGGACTTGTAAAACACATCCCTGAAATAGCACAGCAGCTAATTTTAGGTGTCTCAGTTTAGAGACACGCGAGGAGGCTATTTTCCTCTGCAGTCAGGGGAGAGGCAGACTCCTCCAGAGGTGATTCAGAGCACAAGCCTGGGCGAGATGCTCTGATTCATTTCCTAGCAGAGTCTGTTTCTCCTTCTCTGCTGTCCAAGAGGCTGCATAAGGAGGCCCCTGTAGCCTCGCTCAGCCCCTGCAGGGTTAGATACCAGCGTATCATTGCAGAAATGCTCTTTTCTGATTACTTGCAGCTTGGCCTTTAATTGGGGGTAGGCATTAGTGGAATAAATGAGATCAATTTTGTACGACCCCTACAAGTCATTCTTATTGCAACCCATTGGAACAATTCTGCTATGTAGATACAGCTCGACTCAGAGGAGGATAGACTGGATTACCAGGATAAAAATATCTGCAGACCAGTCATGCTTGTCTAAGACTTCCCTTCTCCTGCCTCGGGGTGGAGAGAGGTCTTCAAACTCCTCCACATCCAGCCCGGGTAAATTAGCACTCAGCCGTGTCCGCTGAGAGCTCACATACCCCGGGGGAGGCACGGCTAAACGGGAGCCACACGGGCTCGGGCTGAGCTCAGGCTTGGTCTTTTCAAACCAAGAGGGTCTTGTTCTGCTCTTCCCTGCTCCTCACACCTCCCTGAGCAGGTCCTTGGTGGTTGTCAGGATGGGTGCTTGTTCATCTCTGGGTGATGTGTTGGGACTCAGAGACTGAAAATAGCTTCACCTTTGCTGAGGAAGACTATTAGACCCCCGGAGCAGTTGTACTGGTTGTACAAAATGTTTCCTCACTGTTGGCCTTTGAAATACAGGTTGTCCATACATTTTTAATAGTTCCCTGTAACAGTTTTCCTGTCATCATGCATGAGCAATGGGCATTTTGATCCCTTCAGAGATGCAGACGCCAAAGTTGGCATTTGACCTAATGCTGGTTTCAGCAAGTAGTCTCCGAGACCTGGCTGCGTGCGGGTGTCCCGCCGTCCCCTCGCTCCGTCACTCGAGGTAAGTCACAGCAGCCCAGTGTGATTTGCTGGAGGCAACATTGCACCCGCACCGTTCTTTCCCCGTCTCTGCCTGTCTGCGCTTGGCTTTGGCGAGGACGGAGACGGGAGTGGATGTGGCAGCATGGGCTCTGGGAAGTGTCTCGGAGCGGGTCTGCAGAGACGGTGCTGGCTCACATCTGGGTTTTGCTCAGACGCCCACAGACGAAGAGACTGGAACCAGGATGCCTTTAGTTAGGGCCATGACGCAGCAGCATGCTTGGATGCCTGATTCATTTTAAACACAGGCATCATCCCTACCAATGCCGACAGTCGTATTTTTGTGGGTAACGCAGCAGTGGCAGGAGCACCAGTCGTGGGCTGAGCCCCGTAACGTACAAACTGTGGTACAAACACAACCGTCCCTGATGCAAAGACCTTAAATTACACCCATTGCTTAATGCTAAATAGGTGCTTAGGTGCCTGCCTAAGTCAGAGCTTCATTTACCCTCTCCTAGCCTGAAAAATGAGAGAAGGGAATATCTTAATAAATCAGATGGCAGCCAACCTTGAAAATCAGGTCAGCCTAGCTATCGTTTCCCTCCCCTCCTTACACCTTCGGCTCTTTTTCCTACGATGAGCCCAGCCAACCTTCTTGCATCATTCCTTCAGCAGGGCCAGATGGGCGCTGCGCGGGGAGCCGCGGGGATGCGGCATCGCTCGGCTAGAAAAGATGCCGACGCGGCACAACCGCCCGAGTGGGCAGGCACCAGTGGGGCCAGCCGGAGCGGGAGCTCCTGCGGTACTTCCCAGCTTCAAGATGCCCTCACCTGCAGCTGGATTTGTTGTGGCAGATGCTGTATAAACAGTAGGGCTGTTCGGATAATGAAGTTTTTACTAGCTGGGAGTAAAGTTTGCACTTAGGCAATCAGTAAGTGTCACTTGCGTACGCGAAGAAATGATAATGTGCACCTCAGCAGAAGCGTTTCTCATAGTCAGATGTGCTTCTGCTCAACTAAGAGCCTCTCCTCGCGTGACGGCGGGGGGCGGCCACGCCTCTCAAAGAGGCCATCGTGAGTGACACATTTTAGCCTTGACTACAACCCTTAATTGCATGTGTGATTGTTAAATTATTCTCTGCAGCACGGCAGAATAAATGTTTATGAAACCAATTTACTCTATTTTAGAGCATGGGGGTCATAATACTATGAGATGCTGTTGATTAACTAGTAAATAATGCATAGGCTGATTACCCTTTAGCTTTGTTGACTGTGTAGGAAAAGGTCAGCGTTCGGCGTTGGGATGCAAGCGGGGCTGCCTTGCTGCTGGGGAAGCGACACCTTCTTAATGAACCCCTTCTCATTTGACAGGTGCAAAACATGTCCCAGTCGATAGAGGTGTTGGACAGGCGGACTCAAAGAGACCTACAGTACGTTGAGAAGATGGAAAACCAGATGAGGGGACTGGAATCAAAATTTAAACAAGTGGAAGAAAGCCACAAGCAGCACCTGGCAAGGCAGTTCAAGGTATGTCTGCTTTCCAAACTGCTAACGAAGCCGTGGCCAGGGATTTAGCGGGGTGCGCACGGGACTGTAGCCCCGGTCCCCCATCAGCTCACGTAGCCGTTGGTCCGGTCATACACGGCGCTGGCGGCCGCCCGTGCAGCTCCCTCCTATCCAAAGCACAGCCAGATCCAGGTTGCGGCATCGCATCCTCAGCCACAATACATTTTTCTGTAGGGTAAAAGCATAAATCTCCGCGTTCCCATACCCACGAACCGCCTGGGTGCCTCAAACAGGGCAGCATAGGATTGCTCCGTGAGAGAGGGTCTGCAGGGAGACCCCGGGGCAGCTGAGGTCAGGGTGAGGTGGGTTCCCCTCAATGGCCAGGCAGCCCTTCCCCACGCCGTGCCCGGGACCCAATTTTCTTGGGAAGAGCCGGGAGCTAGGGTTCCGTTACCATTTCTGCAGCACGTGGTGACCGCAGTCACCAAATGGCTTCCCTCCTTGGGGTGGTTGTAGCCACAGGGCAATCAGGGCAATCAATCAAACAAATCAACCCCCCCCCCCAAAAAAAACCCAAACCAACCCAAAGTACGACTATTGCGGCTGTCCTCGGGCTGGCAAACTGCACATCTCAAGGATGTGCCAATGTCCAATTTTGAAGCAATGGTGTTGGCAGCAGAGCCAGCACCTTCTGATGGATTATATGTGTTTTGTCCTGATGTTGTACAAATGAGAAGATATCAGCCTTTTAAATGAAGCTGTCATTGCGAGCAATGGTCAAACTTTCAAGAACTTGATTGCGAACAAATGAAATTGCCAAAAAGAGGCTGTCAGCAATATTTGGAATGTTACATTTTACTAATGTCGTGGATTAATAGGTAGAAAAAACAAATTGAGAAGATTTCTAGTGAAATTTGGGGTCATTTCTGATCAGCCACCCAGCTGATTCCCGTCCTCATTTCCAGGCAGCTGCCCAGCTGGCTGGTGTTTTAAAGCAGAATTTTTTTAATTGATATGTTAAATACTGAAATACCAAGATTATGTCATAAAAAGCTGGGAAGAAGGTTCTTAAAACTTTTCACCAACTCCACCTCCTCCACTCCCTATCTCCAGTTACTGCAGGACCCTAAACTTAGCTCCGCAGTCTGGATATAAGGACCATCTTTCTGATTTAAGCATGAGTTTCTTTTTGTTTCTTTTTTTTTTTTTTTTTTTTTCCCTCCCCCCCTCCATTGTGATGAGTTTAATCCTCCCCGTTGCCTGCCGGGGAGCTTGCACCGGGAAGTGCAAGTAGATAAGAAAATGAATACATTCCCCACATGCAAACCGCAGGAGGGAAAGCCTCTTGACTTAAAGAGGAGGGGATGGGAAGGAAAGAAATGAGGCTGAGCGCCAATTTCTGATCCCGTTCACCCCCGAGCTGCTTCAGCAGCCGGCCAGATGTCACAGCCCTGAGCGCTGTGAACTCGGCCTCTGTGCAATAGTTTAAGCAGCACCAAGTATACTGTGTATACTAACATGCTTCATTAACGGGTAGGTGCATGCATATTTATGTCTACTCATTAGCTGCTGGAGCAAAGCATCCTTAACAAAATGCTGCATACCGTGCCTTTAAACGAGGCCTTCATTTAATTTAAAAAAAAAAAAAGTCTTCGTTTCTTGCAAAATAAATTTGAGAATGACTTTGATTTTTATGTTCTTTATAGCATGCCTAAAAACAGTAAGGAATTTTTGTCTAATTTGCTGCCAAAGCACCGTTTTAAATAACAGCCACAGCATTTTGTTTCTGCTAATGCCAGCATTAAAATGTGAGTGGTTTGGAGCTCTTGTGTTTTTTTTTTTCTCTTTAGTTCCGTGAGAGTATTTGTCTATGAATGGCTATCTATATAAGGCAGGTTAGTGAGCTAGATCCTCAACAGTATTTCATTTTCTTGCTTACAGGGCTAACTTAAAAGCAAGTTTTTTCAATGCTGCAGTGACTGAAGAAGCAGTTCACTCCCATGTAACCATGAAAAGAGGGCCACAGAGCATTTTGCACCATGCATTTATTTTTTTGATTATTTTCCAAATTAGCACCATATCTCACTAAGGAACCTTGAACCACACAACCGAGATCTTCCTTTGCATGCAATTGTAGATGCATTTCATGAATAGTTTGAAACCCTTGTCAATGCATATATATATTATTTTATTTTATTTTTTGGAAAGAAAAAAAAAAAAAAGAACTTTGTGTATGTGATCTGAAGCATGTAACCCTAAGATGTTGCATTCTAAAAATGACAAATAAAGGCCTTTCCCAAATATTTTGGTGTTCTGCAGCCTGTTTAATATGTTCTTTCCAATACATCATTTGGACCAAAATAATAATAATTAAAATAATTTTAATGATAATAATTGTGGGATATGAACATTGCACTCACGTAGGAAGCAACCAGGTCAAGGCAGAGTGTTGCAGATTTTTGCACGCATAGCACTGAACCAAGCTTATTTTAACCTTGCAGGCAATAAAAGCGAAAATGGAGGAACTTAGGCCTTTGATACCAGTGTTGGAAGAGTACAAAGCCGATGCAAAATTGGTATTGCAGTTTAAAGAGGAGGTCCAGAATCTGACGTCAGTTCTAAACGAACTCCAGGAGGAGATTGGCGCCTATGACTACGAAGAGCTTCAGAACAGAGTGTCAAATCTTGAAGAAAGGCTTCGTGCATGCATGCAAAAATTAGGTAGGCTCAGAACAACATGGTGGCACTGGCTAAACACCATCGATGTTAAACCACGCATCCCGTCTGGAGGCAGAGATGCTAGACTGGACATCTCCTTGTGCCTGGCTGGCTGTAAGGGATGAGCTCGCACAGCCAGGTTTGATCCTGTAAATATTTATGCTATAAGTAACATTAATCTTGGGAGTAGTCCTGCTGAGGATTACTTGCACGAGCAATGTTGCTCATGGCATAAATGCTTCAGGATCAGGCCCTTAACCTAGGCATGTGACTTCTCGCAGCGTTTGCATAAGTGGGCGGTGAAATGCGGTAAATGCGTGGCCTATTGCAAATAACGCTTATGCAAAGCAAACACATGCGCCCATTTTGCTTACGCATCAGTGTCCGATCTTTTTGCTAACTGGACCTGGCACATCAGCAAAGGTCTCCGCACACCGCTTTAAGTAGCGCGCGCGCGCGTGTGTGTGTGTGTGTGCAGGCTGTGACTCGGTTTCCCTTTTTCCTTTCCTTTTGCATCTTGCAAGCCCCTGTTGAGAAGAGCATGATGTAGCTGGTGCGGGTTCGTGTCTTGGTCCGGACTGTGCCGTGTGCAGGATATAAATCCTACCCATCTCTCCCGTTCCCCGAGGGAGCAGGGAGCCCCTTCCATCAGGCCAAGTAACCAGCAGCGCTAAAATGCGAGAGATTCATCTGTAATCCCATTCAGAGAGTATTAATTGACTGAAGCCTGGGGGTCTATTGTGGGGAGACACGGCTGTAACTAAACCCAGCGTCTGACCCCAAACAGAGGGTGGAGAAGGGGGGAAGGAGGGTGCTGCCTTCTGCAGCTGCAAGAAATCTCCCCACCGTTCGTTGGCCTAGCTCTGACTTGATTTGATTTCTACTTACATTATTGACTTTCTTGTTAAGCAATTTAGATAATCTAAACACATTAACTGCTCTGCAGTCTATTTCGGTAGCACATATGAAATTACACTCTCAGGTAACTTCTTGGAAGATCAGATCTCTTCTGAGCACTTTCTATCCTTGGCAAGGTAATGCTTTGTTTCTCTCTTGTCTCTGCTGGCGGGATTGCTTTTGCTTGTTTCTAGATGCCTCCGCACTTCCATAAGCAGCCGCCTCCCCTGTATTTCCCCCTGCATTTCCATCCTCTCCTCTGTTACCTTGTAAGTCCCTTGTAAGCTACCTCTCACTCGAAACCTCGGAGAGGAAAGCGAATTTCCACGTAAGCCTGGATGCTCAGAAGTATTTGAACTACAAGCGTACAGTGAGTCGTGCACCGAGATACCCCCGGGGAGCTGCCCGGGCAGCAGGTATAACCCCCCCGCCCCGGCTAAGTGAGAGCCCGGAGCCTGATTCCTCATTTATTAACGAGTGCTGATGGGCCCAGGTTTGGTTTAGGGGCAGAACAGGCTGAGGCGAGTTGCGCCGCCGCTTTCTGCACGGTGTCTGCGGTCCCTCTCCTCGCCCCGTGATAGCCACGGGGAAGGCAGCAGGGTTGGGGGATGGCAGGGAAGTCGTGACCTTGTCCTCACCCACTTGAATTTCACCCTGAAAGCTTAACGGGGACAGAAATGATCGAGGCTGTAATGACTTGGTGCTTTCTGTGTTAGCAGTACCTAATACCTGGAGCTTTATCACGTGGGGACCGTACAAGCATCTCGGCAATGACAGTCCTGCAGTGGGTAAGATGAGAAAGGACGGGGAACAGGCCCAGGAGTGTCTGGTTGACCAAGGTCCCATAGCAGCCCCCCCAGCAGCCCCACACCGCCAGCACAGGGCAGCTCTGCCCTGCAAACAGCTTTTCTCATTCTTCCCCTGCCAAAGGCAGAGGTGGGTGTGATGAGAGGAGGGATCCACTTGCTGCATCCGTAGCCTTCAGCCCATCTCTTGAAGATGAGGAGGAGCTGCAGGTGATATGGTGAGGGAACAGCAGCAGGACCAGGGATTTGAGCCTGGGCTGTAGAAGTACTTTCCCAGGGATAGTTCTTTAAACAAAGCCATCCTGGACCCCACAGCCCCTCTCCAGCCGGCCTCGATGGAGCTGCCCAGCCCAGGCTGACTCCACCAGAGCCAGGGAAGCTGTGATGATCCTCCTGCAGACCCTGGGCAGACTTTAAGAAGTAGCTCCCAAACCATTCAGGGCTCAAAAAAAAAAATAAAAAATAGAGTTTTCTCTTGGACCATTAGCCCCTTCTTGCTTTGGGCCATGTCCTGGCTCATTACATTCCCCTCATGCTCAGCTCCTCCAGCTGGGACACCCACCCAAGGCAGTACCCCAGTAAGACTGACTGAGGCAGCTAGGATGGCGAGCTCTTGCAGGCAACTTGCTCTAGAAACTTTTGGGCGTTTTTGGGAATCTTTTCAAGGCTTTATTTATCTTTTTGGCCATGCCCCTTCTTTCTCCTCTTGCTCTCTCTGTGACCGTGGGGTCAGGGCAGCTTTTCTGCCTTGGGGCGTTGCAGCACCCCTGGATGCTCGCAGAGATGGACGCTGAGTCTTGCAAGGGTTTGCCCGGGAGGGTTTGCTGCTCGCCCGGGAGGGTGATTTATTTGGTCACTTAACAGCAAACAGCACGGATTGAATTTCCAATGTTGTTTATCGCTCCGGAGTGTAAACCAGTGAAAATGGTAGTTAATTGAGTTAAATTCAGATAACAACTTTACAGACACTTTGCTGCCGCACGATGAGGCCCTGTTTGCTGAGGATTGCTGTTTGCTGCAAATTATCTGCTCAGAGGGATTCACTGACGTTTCAAGTAGCATGTTTTAGCTTAGGTTTGCTCCTGCATGGGCCAGCAATGCTGCTCACCTGGTGTGTGTTCGCCTGCTAGAGCTCGGGATGCAGCTTAGAGTGCCCAGAGCAGGATCAGGGAGCTGCTGCAACAAGCACGGGACAAGGGAAGGGGAGGGGATGTGCCGTGTTCCCGTCCGGTTCGCCTCTCCCCATCCTCCGGGAAGCACTGATGCTCGACAGAGCAGCAGCATTTTCCTTAGACAAGGTCCTGTTTTGCATTTTGGGTTTCCTAACCATTATTGATGGATCAATAGTGAAAATGCTTCCTGACCCTGGCATGTGTGTGAAGGAAAAAAAAAATCAATAATGGCACATTCAATCTGTTACTCTGTTTACACTCTTAAAGATCACTATTTATACAGGGATTTTAACGTTTCCATTAATGTTCCTAAGAGGAGCCTTGGAGGAGTGGAGAGGTTGTCACTCCTTGATTCGAGGGGGAATTTAACTCGTCTGTGCTCCGCAGGCTCACATTTGCTTGATAGCACAAGCTTTCCCTGACTCTTGCAAAAAATCCCAGCCCACAATCCTAGTGCAGAGATGGGGACAGAGCCCTGCCAGCCTGTCCCAGATATTTTTGGGATGGGGGGCTCCCAGCTGGGCAACGGAGGTGAGGGCAGGACACAACCCAGGCGCCGCAGCCCCGTCCCTGCTGCGGAGGGCTGGGACCGGGATGTGGGGGAGATCAGACCTTGGCTTCGTGGGAAGCCCAAGCTGGGAGGGCGCTGGGCTGTAGCAGCAGCAGCCCAAGCGGAACCGCCGAGTCCAGAAGGAGACGGTGCTGGGCGGGGCGGGGTGGCTGCGTTGGCGGATAAATTGCTGCTGAGCTGCTAAACATCGCTTGTGGGCTGGATCTTAGGAGAAATATGGAGCGGGGGTGTTAGTATCCTGGGAGGATGGTAGCGCTCGTTGTAACTGGCTGGAGGAGAGCGTGTCTTCTCCTGCTGGAAAATTCCTCGTGCGGCTAGAGGAAGGGACTGCGTGCGTGGAGGTGGTGTTTCGTTGCTGCTCTGCTGAGCTGCCGGGGGGCAGGTCGGAGGCCCGCCGAGTCCAGAAGGAGACGGTGCTGGTGGCGGTGCGGTGGCTGCGTTGGCGGATAAATTGCTGCTGAGCTGCTAAACATCGCTTGTGGGCTGGATCTTAGGAGAAATATGGAGCGGGGGTGTTAGTATCCTGGGAGGATGGTAGCGCTCGTTGTAACTGGCTGGAGGAGAGCGTGTCTTCTCCTGCTGGAAAATTCCTCGTGCGGCTAGAGGAAGGGACTGCGTGCGTGGAGGTGGTGTTTCGTTGCTGCTCTGCTGAGTTGCAGGGGGGCAGGTCGGAGGCGCTTGGCTGGGTCAGACTGGAGGGTCACTCAGGAGGAGGCTGATTTGTGCTGTTTCCCAGGAACAGGGACATGCAGGCCCCCACGGGCCACAGGTCCAGGGACCTGAATAGTGCTGGGGACACTGGAGTGAAAACAGATCCTCTATGCATGACCCAAAAGCTGCTGTTCACAGGCTTCCCCTGTGTCCTGGACTCATGGATGAGCACCAGGTCATGCTTTCCTGTTGTACATTCATCCCTGAGTGACTTGAAATGCCTGTAGCATCCCGTGCTCCTGCCATCCCAATGGGAGAGCAGGTTTGCTCGAAAGGCTCAGCACCCATGGGTGCTGGGCTGCCTGGGGCAGGAGGGCTTTGCTGGGCAGTCAAGCAGGAGCTTTAGGGCAATTGCAGCCAGGGCTTAAAAACTGCCCCGTGCAAGTCAGTAGAGTCTGATAGGGGAAGGACTTGGAGGTTGGGCGTCAGTTCCTCACCCGCAGAGGAGAACACTGCTGGGACTGGCAGGTGCTGCTGGCGGGTGCTTCGAGGCTGTGCAGGCTGCAGCTTCGTGCCGGAGCGTAGGGAGACACAAGAATCCTGTCTTGTGAGCTACTGCTCTGATTCAAGCTGCGACATGTCCAAGGGAAGCAGTGGAAGACAGAGTCCCCTCTGCCCCCAGTAAAGTAATCTTCCTGCTTTTAATGATTGCTGGCCCCATAGAAGGGGGAAAAAAGGCTGATGGCGTTAGGAGTAGTGTGGTGTGCATCTCAGCAGGAACGGACAGGTGAGTGAGGATCACAGAGGCTGTAGTTGTCCATCCCTGGGCAGATGAGAGCTGCAGGAATGTAGCCAACTGAAGCATTTGGTTCCAGGATCCATTTGAAACCTTCCCCCTAGCACCTGGGTGCCTATGATAGATTTACACCAAGAAAGAAAACACCTTGCCCTGTGTAAGAGCAACCCTCTTGCAGTGCTGAGGAGCTGTTGTCAATGTGCCTCCAGCTAAATGAGTATGAGATGTAGCCTCACTACTTGCAAACAACACTAGTTTACCCTTATCAGCTTCTGCTGCTTTTTTTTTTTTACTTTTTTTTTTTAAATCAATGAGCTTTTATACAACCTTTCTCTCCAGGGAAATGGAAGGAAAGAGATAAAGTAACAGCAATGTAGGGCTGCGATAATGGAAGGCAGCGTTGAGCAGATCTGTGATTAGAGTAAGGCTGGTCCTCTGCAAGGGGAATTTGCAAGACATTAAGCATTTATTATTTTAACCCGTTGCATCCCTTTGTCAATACCTTGCTCTCCTCCTGAGCTGAGAGGTTTTGAATGCATCAGACAGGCAGGAGGACAAATTCCCATACGTCGTGTCTCAGTGAGGCCAAGAAAGCCCTCTGCTCTTTGGTGGGATCTCTCTTTATCTGCCTGGTGTCTGAAGGCTGTGGGAAGACTGATGGTCCCCTTGGCCATGTCATGCTGGTGCATATCGAGAATATCTTCATCTATTTTATGCCCCGGGCTAAGGTGACCCCTTTGCCCGCAGCTCAGAGCTGAGGTAGGTGGATGTGTCCTGTGGCCGTAATCAGGAATATAAAGGGGCAGATGAGAACAGGCTAAGGAGAGAGGCAGCTAAGAGAGATCACAGAGTGCACGTACTGGAAACATTCCAGGTCAGGTTGGACGGGGCTCTGAGCAACCTGATCTAGTTGAAGATGTCCCTGTTCATTGCAGGGGAGTTGGACTAGATGACCTGTAGCGGTCCCTTCTAACCCAAACCATTCTATGATTCTATGATTCTACTTGGTAATTTTGAGCAGAAGGACCTTGTCCTGAGCTGGCAGAGCTCCACACGTGTTTCAGCAGCACCTCCACAGGCTCCCACCTGCGGCCTCGGCCCCGGGTACCCCCCGCTGAGCAGCGGAGCCATTCGTACTGCAGTGCAGCTGCAACTCAGCCTGCAAACCCAGCACCCGGAGCAGCTGCTCCGTCCCCGCACCGCCACCTTCCCCTTCCCCGGCCTGCCAGACGCTTCCACGTCAAAAAGGAGAAGTCAGGAAACACCTTCTGAACTTCAGGCTGCGGCTGTCCCTCTGGTGCCGCTGACCTTAGCTTGCCTTGCTCAGGAGGTGCTGCTGCAGGTCCACTGAATGTGTCCGGGTTTTAAATGAGTGCTCCCCTAGCGACAGACCATCCAACACCAGCCCCCAGTCCCTCCCACAGCATCTTCATCTCTTTGCCTGTCGTTCCTTAGTGCACATATGCTAAAATACTGCTGTTGCAGACCAGAATGGCAGCTTTGCTGAAATTTGGGGATATCGTTGGAAATAGGAACTCAGCGTGCGGCTGCACTTTCGATGCTGAGGCTGTAGCATTGCAGGCATCTACTCGCGGGGGTCCCTGGGGGGATGCTGGGTTCAGTGTCAGGGGAAAGAACCATGGAAGGGAAACAAGCTGCCACGGGCAGCCGGCATGGCAAGCTGGGGGAGAGGTGCTTCTGCTTCACCTCGTATTCAGGGCTTAAATACACAGCGAGGCACTTAGCTGGGCTTGCAAATGTGCTGACATCCCCACTTAATCCAATGGCATGAAATCAACAGTGTGGAGCACCTAAATATGCTTCAAAACCTGTCTCGTAGCGCTGTGCGGGTGCACATCTCTGTTGTGGTGATGCTGAGTCTGGGCAGGATTCCCGGGGCAGCTCCCGAGGGGCCCTTGGGACACTCCACCTCCTGCCTTCCATCCTGCTGCGTTTGGGTTCCTCTCCCGGAGCTGGCAAAGCCCAGGCTGGCAGAGGAGACAGGAGGAGGCTGGTGAATTCATTACTGTCTCCTAAGTGTGCAGACATGACAGGGAACAGAGAAGGTGGCTGGTAGAAGCCGGTAAATGGTCTTTGCAGGGAAGAGATTTATATTGCATATAATTTCCCACCTTTTTGTTTTTTCTCCTTTGCATAACCTGTAACAAATGCATGTTTTCAGCAGGGCTGGAATAGACACGTCTGTTTTTTTATCTCGGCTGCACCCACTCTATTACAGCAGAAATGAGCAGAGCTATTCAGCTAATTTCTCCACCTGGCCGCTCGACCCTGGCTAACTCTTCTCATTTTCTAGTCTGCGACGTTAGCAGCACGGCTAGTTCAGGAAAGCTTGTTTTCTTGGGGGCAGCGTGATAAGGACAACTGTTATTAAGAGGCATGAAACAAACAAAAGCATCTGACAGTTGTTCTTGGCCTAATTACCTCTAATTAAATAAAAACAGAGCTGCCCATCAGCGGGGGAGAGCACCCTGGCTAACTCTTCTCATTTTCTAGTCTGCGACGTTAGCAGCACGGCTAGTTCAGGAAAGCTTGTTTTCTTGGGGGCAGCGTGATAAGGACAACTGTTATTAAGAGGCATGAAACAAACAAAAGCATCTGACAGTTGTTCTTGGCCTAATTACCTCTAATTAAATAAAAACAGAGCTGCCCATCAGCGGGGGAGAGCAGTGGGCAGAGCGGTGTGGTTGGTGGCCGGTGCTGATGCCCTTCATCAGGGCTTCGGGGCTGGCTGGCAAACGAGCTGCGGCGGTGGTCTGACGTGGTGCTCACCAGCTTTGCACTCTTTTTCAGCTTGTGGCAAGCTGACGGGAATAAGTGACCCAATCACAATTAAAACCTCGGGGTCCAGGTTCGGATCGTGGATGACGGACCCTCTCGCTCCCGAGGGAGAGAACAAGGTAAGACCGCGACAGCTTCATCCCTGTGTTCCCACTTCCACCGATGCAGCCGACATCATTGAAAACTCATTACATCCAAGCACCGAAGCCCAGGTTGTGCCCTGTGAAACCTGTGGAAGGTCCTAATTCATCTCACAGGGCTCTGCTGGCCGCCTCTGCAGCGGGAGGGGGCTGAGGATCCTGCAGGGAGGGAGGATGAGGAGGGGGCTGAGCAGCCCCACACAGTGGTCCCTTCCCAGGGCAGGTAAAACTGCAGTGATGAGCGTGCATGGTCTCGGAAGTGTCACCACGAGGTCTGTGCCCCCCGCGGGAGGGAAAAATCAAATACTGAGTTTCTCGTCTGGGTTTGGCAGCCAGGAGGGAGATGGGGCTGAGCAGAGGGACCCGTGGTCCTGCTGCTCTTCTGCTGCCGGCGCCTCCGATAATGTCATCTGACTGCATTTGTCCTCCATCCTCCACCTTCATTGTTGTGAGGAATTAACTGACTGCAGCCAGAGAGAGATTTGTTTTGCTTTGTTTTGGTCTTTTTTTTTTCCATTCAGACCATTCAATTTTGATCCCAAGGAGGTAGGAGGCCAATAACTGGCTGAAAATCAATCCAGGCTTCCCATGACTGATGGAATGGAAAATATCTCGAGTGTTTGCTGAGGATTTGCAGGCAGCAAAACAAAACAAAAACCACAGAGCTTGGCTGCATGGTAATTCCCTCCTGCATGCAGCATCCTTCATCAAAGGATGAAGGCACCAGCAAGGGCTGTATCAGGGCAGCTATTTTGAGAGCTCTGCCCTGTGATCGGCTTTCTGTAGCTAAGAGAGGACGAGGGATGTTCTGGAGAAGCCACCCCTGGGGGTGGCTTCATTTGCCCGTGGATGTGCAGCAATGAAGCTGTGGTGACTTGAGATGTCGGGCTCTTTCCCTCCAGCAGCCAGCTGGTTGGCACTGGTTCCCCAATATGACACCTCCATATTTTACAGTTATTAAACAAAACTTCACCTATAGCCCCAATAAGATCCTGATTAGAAGTGGGTTGGGAAGGCTTTACCCACATCACATCTTGTTTTGCTCAAGAGAGGGGACAGACTTGTCCCCTTCAGGCTGTGTTTGCTGCATCCCTCGGCAGCAACGTGATTTATAAATCTGTGAAGGGAGATTCAGGCCTGTTGCAGCTGAAGCTGGTTGATCAAATGCTAAAGATCTTCCCATGCCTTCAGAGAGTTTTGTCTCAAACCAGTATTTTGTAATATTTTTTTTACCCATGCCTTTTTTCTGCAGTGTATTTTTGTCATGAGAGTAGACAAGCAGTTTTCTCTGAACTGTAGCTCAAGCTTCACAAGCATGTATGTGTATATAATATATAAATCTACCGGGAATTTTATTAGAAACACACAATTAAGTGAACTTCATTGGGTACCCAGCAGAGGGGGAAACTGGTGATGGGGAGAGATGGGCAGTTTATCATATCCATCTTATGTCACCAAGCCCCGGGAGGTGTTTGGGGGTTCCTGTGGTCATTTGTACGTGTCATGAAATCATTGAACAGAACTGGGCAAAATTGCGAGTCCCGCAGGAGCAGCCCGGCGGCGAGGCAGCAGATGGATGCTGAGCGCCGGGATTGATGTGTATTGGCAGGAGAAGGTTGCTTAAAGCCAGCCGGTGCGATGAGACGTTGCTATCCATAAATCTCTGCTTCTCCAAAGCATGAAATGCTGTTGGGTCATGCCACCTTGCAGCCCCAGCGTGATGACATGGGGTTCTGCTCTTCTGGGCTTCCCTTTGTCTCTCTAAAAACTGAGCACAATGTATTGGCACGCGTAATTTTTTAATACCAAATAATGAAATGGGAGCAGCAGGGAGACAATCAGTTTTCTGGGGGTTTTTTTTGTAATTTCCCAAGCTGGTTTAGTTGAACGCAGGCATTTCATTAAGTGAGGAATGCTCTCCAGCGCCACGTCTAACAGCAGAAGCTCTCCCAGGCACTTCTCTGCCGGGGGCTCAGGGACATGTGTGGTTTTTCTCTGGTGCTTTTGCAGCCATCCTCAAGCCCACAGTGGAGGTGTGAAGATCAGAGCCGTTTGCCACACGTTCATTCCCCACCTCTGCAGTGTTTCCAGGGAGGTAACGATGGAGGGCTGAAGTTCCCTACAAAGTTTTTGCAGACCCCACCTGGCCTTTCAAATACAGCAGCCAAAAGCAGTTTACATGCACGCACCGTCTGTAAATATTTGCTCTTCTAAGGGACCCTGGAGACAGCCATATTGCAGACATGATACCATCAGATTTTGCAAGGGGTTTCAAAAGAAGTTTGCCCAACAACAAATCTGCATCCTTAAAGGCTTCCCTCTTGCTATTTAATTTACTTCTCCTTCCTAAACAGTTTCTACAGAAAGCAGCTATCTTATTTTTAGGCAGCACTTGCACACAGAATGTCACTCACTGGCTGGATATTTCTTCTTGATATTAACTGCGCAGCTTTGTCATTTGCCTCGGAATTGGTTTCATATGCAAAAGCTTTTTTTTTTTTAAGGAATCTAGACAGTCTCCCTAGTGAACTGGCGCTTAAATGATGATCTAAAATCTCTCCCTCATCTACCGATAGCAAGATTTTGATGTCTTTGTCTCTCATATTTTAGTGGCCTTGGTTTCAGCGTTTGATGCAGAAGTGTATGATTTTTAAATCAATATGGACTTTGCCTGAATTTCCTTGACAATGAGCGATTGCATCCATCACTTCTGCATGCCAAATTAATGGAGGTCTGCACAGCAGCTGGTATCATTTACTGAGTAAAGTAAAGTAAAGCCCACAATGGGGCTTACGGGAAGCAAAAGCGGCATCAACGTAATATGCCGGGTTTAGCCAGAGGAAGGATGTTAGCTGCCCTCTGGAAGGACGGTGTCCATCACGCAGCACTCCCAGGGAACCGCTTAAGCTCCCATGTTCCTGGGGCGATACCAGGTTACCCCCCAGGAAAGCTTTGCTATTCAGTTGATTTCTTGGCTGATTCTGGGTTCCAAAAATTGGGTTTATTTCTGGGCGCAGGCGGCAGGCGTTGGACACATCGTTTTCCAGCGGGTTGGGTTCCTTGCTCTGGATTTCGCTCACAGCTCAGTTTCTAGGGGGATGTGCACAGGGCTCAGCCAGGTCTCTGCTGTTTTCTAACCCCATGTGTTTCTGTTGCTCGCCCAGGTCTGGTACATGGACAGCTACCACAACAACCGTTTCGTCCGTGAATATAAGTCCATGGCAGATTTCATGAATACTGACAATTTTACCTCTCACCGTCTCCCTCACCCGTGGTCGGGCACCGGTCAAGTGGTCTACAATGGCTCTATCTATTTCAATAAATACCAAAGCCACATAATTATCAGGTTTGACTTGAAAACAGAGACCATTCTCAAGACTCGCAGCCTGGATTATGCCGGCTACAACAACATGTACCACTACGCCTGGGGTGGCCACTCGGACATTGACCTCATGGTGGACGAGAATGGGCTGTGGGCTGTCTACGCCACCAACCAGAACGCGGGCAACATCGTCATCAGCAAGTTGGACCCCAACACCCTGCAGAGCCTCCAGACCTGGAACACCAGCTACCCAAAACGCAGCGCCGGGGAGGCCTTCATCATCTGCGGCACGCTCTACGTCACCAATGGCTACTCGGGAGGTACCAAGGTGCACTACGCCTACCAGACCAATGCCTCCACCTACGAGTACATCGACATCCCCTTCCAAAACAAGTACTCGCACATTTCCATGTTGGACTACAACCCCAAGGATCGGGCCCTCTATGCCTGGAACAACGGGCACCAAATACTTTACAATGTCACCCTTTTCCACGTCATCAGGTCTGACGAGTTGTGGGAGGTACCAAGGTGCACTACGCCTACCAGACCAATGCCTCCACCTACGAGTACATCGACATCCCCTTCCAAAACAAGTACTCGCACATTTCCATGTTGGACTACAACCCCAAGGATCGGGCCCTCTATGCCTGGAACAACGGGCACCAAATACTTTACAATGTCACCCTTTTCCACGTCATCAGGTCTGACGAGTTGTAGTCCATCCTTGTTTAGAAACTGATTTAGAAAAAAAAAAAGGAAAAAAGGGAGAAATGAATTTTAAAAAAAATACTAATATCAAGGAAACACACTTTAAATAAGTAAATATATAAACAGCTGCCAAAATTAAGACCAACATCATGGAGGATTATTCAGCATAAACCTGACAGATCAGCATTACCTCTACATTTCTAGAAGTCTGGCCCTGTGTAATAGACTCACGACTAACCATGTACTTGCAGCTGGAACTGCACTTAAAGAACCACTTAAGTTTTGGGTTTTGTTTTGTTTCTGTTCCGATAGCAAACCTATAGTACATCCTAAAGAAGTAAGGCAATGACTGTTGAAAGTTTATCCTTGGGAGACTCGCTCTCTTCTGTGTGTGGGTTGCATGGACATTTTCCCGACGTCACGGTCAGCTGTGATGGATGTGTGATTTGTATTTCTAAGCAGAAAACGCTGACCCGTGAGGAGCTCTCGCTGTCTGATCAAGACCTATCACAGGTTAGTTTTCTTCGCCTTCCATTGCAGCTACTGTCTCTCAACTGTGTTCTTGTCACTTAGATTAACTGTGCTGAGACCCGAAGTAGCTCATGGATCTGTGTCTTAGTAACTATTAAACACGATGGTTTAAGTATGTATTTTGAACAAGTTGTTGTACCCATATTGTTTGAACTTATGTATTCAGCAAATATATTGTATAATGTATGTCTGTTATTTACCAGAGGTGGCAAAACTTTGTATGTCCAGTTTATGCAATGAATGTTGTAAATGCAATGATGTAGTTTGGATCAATAAATGATGGTTTTGTTTCTAAAAAGAAAAAAAAAGGATCAGTGTTCACCCTTATACACAGATAACCAATTTCATGTTGATAATGACAAGAATATTCTCTTACTGTTATACTATCTACAATTATGGTGGGTTGTTGTACCCATATTGTTTGAACTTATGTATTCAGCAAATATATTGTATAATGTATGTCTGTTATTTACCAGAGGTGGCAAAACTTTGTATGTCCAGTTTATGCAATGAATGTTGTAAATGCAATGATGTAGTTTGGATCAATAAATGATGGTTTTGTTTCTAAAAAGAAAAAAAAAGGATCAGTGTTCACCCTTATACACAGATAACCAATTTCATGTTGATAATGACAAGAATATTCTCTTACTGTTATACTATCTACATAGCATTATGGTGGTTGGAAATCGCTTCTGTGGAAATTCTGTGGCATCAGATTCCCATGGGAAGCCCTGTTTATGGAAGTGTGAAGGTAATTAATTTTTTTTAAGAGGAAAACTTTGTACTATCCACAGTTATCTAAGGAACAATAAAAATATTAGGAGACTTCCCTGCTGCTTTGTTTATTGTCTTCTCTGTACGAGTGACCAAGTGTAGGGGAGGGGTAACAGGAATTATTGTGGGGTTTTTTGGGTAATCGTTGAGCAACCATCCTGACTTTCCTTACATCTTGAATCAAGCATTACCTGATGGGTAGCTGCAGCTGGGAGCCGGAGGGGCCGGCAGCGAGGAGCTGGAGGGTTTGGCTCTCTGCTCTGTAGGGCTCATGCAGCGGCATTGCCTTCCCATTTGCATTTGGAGCAGATACTGCTTCAAGGAGATAAAATCCTCCCTCTGCTCCTACGGCTGCTCTCCGCTGCGAGGGGAAGCGAAGGCGGCTGCAGTGAGGCTGCGTTGCTGCCCGCGGTGCCGTGCTCAGCATCCTCTCCATCCTGGGGCTGACGGCAGAGTCGGGGGTCAGGGGGTGACAGCATTTGATATCAGTGCTACAACAGGAGAAAATTGTGTCATCTGTCACGTTCAATTGAGTTGGAGACACCGTGCCTCAGACTGCCTGGTGCAATTGGATCATTTTCCTTCTCAGATGCTTAGATTGCTTCTCCTCCTGAATTTGCTATAGTCTTATGCTAGTAAAAATCTTCTTCCATTTAATGCAGCTTGCGCTGCGATGCTTATTATAATGAGCAACTGTTACTGCTGAGGCCTGAGCACTCAACACAATCATTCCTCTTGTTTTTGCCAAAGCAGGGGTGTCACAGCATTGCAGGATGCTGCAGTACCACAGCACACATCTTGAAATGATCCGAGGCACTTTTCCAGCTGAACACTCCTGAAGCTCTTGATATTTTGAAGCTTAAGACGCTGGATGCTAACATGCTCTTCTCAACTACCTTTAATAAATCCTGCACTTCCCCGCTCTCCCCTTACACACTTCCACCATATGCTTTCCCCATGGCAGGGCTCATTTTACCGGGCACCCAGCACCACCAGCAGCTTCATTCTGCCACCACTGTCTGGTGTGAGATGCGGGGTCCCATCTTTCCCCTCTGCCCCAAGGAGAGCGGTATTCAGCAATTCCCACGCCACAGCCGGCCCCAGGCAAAGGGACAGGACCCGTCCTGCCTTCGCTGCCCACCCAAGGAGCCCACTGAGCTGGATCTCGTGGGCATCAGGGATGCCTGGTACCTGTGCAAGCTGCAAAGGGCTTGCTCTGGTGTCGTTAGACCGTCGTTGCCTCCTTTCCAAACAGAGAAGCAGGTGACCGTGTTTAGCACCACCAGGCATGACTGTTTTTCAGCCAAGTGGTATGTGAACAGCTATATTTGCTGATGAGGTTCAGCCTTCGAACTGGGCAGACAGATGCATTAGGGCCCTTGGAAGGAGCGCGGATCACTGAGGTCAGGAAATTGAATATAAGCAATTGGTGACTGCTGCAAATTGCACATATGGATTTCAACCTCTCGGCCTTAGCAGAAGGTCCCTGCTGGGCTTTTCAGCGGGAGGAGAGGGGAAAGAAAAAAATGGTGTCATGTGGTTTCCCAGAGCTGAATTAAACCACAAGCAATGAATGATCCTCCACATGTAAATGTTTGAGCCAGTTACACGGGTTTAAGATACTGCCCTGTGTCAGCACTGCTCCTCTTCCTGAAATGCTGGCTGTATCCAGAATGGGGACAGCTCTCTGAGGACTCGTTTCTGCGCTACACACCATATTTCCAGGGCTCTGGACTGCCAGGTTTGTGGAGATCTTCGATATTTAGCAGTGGTTTTCCATCCAAGAAGCTAAAAAGGGGGACTAGAGACCCACGGTGTAATTGGCAGCAGTATTGATCTTCAATGCACAAGAGAAATCTGTTAAGCCAAAAAGCTGTAAGGCACCTGCAGTCATTTCTATTTAATTAATGTATTTCTTCAGTGCAAACTCATTTAAGGGGAGCGCGCTATTTTTATAAGATTTAGAGCTGGATCCAGCGACCGCTGCAACCAACGGGACGGACGCCGATGCCTACAACAGGGGCTGGGCTTCTGCAGCCAACTGAACCTGCTCGCTGCACAGCTCCTCAAGTGCATCGGGGTGATTCTCTTGCACAGCCTTGCCGTAGTTTTGAATCATGGCTGTTGTCAGCTGTACTACGCGCTGAATTGCTTTTCGGTGCAGATTATTGTCCCAGCAGCTGGGCTTTGCGTATTCTGTTTCCTCCCCGCCTGCACGCCACGGAGCTGTGCTAATCGCCCTGAGCACCAGACGGGTCTTCTCTAAGACCTCTGTAGGTGCTCACGGAGATTGTCCCAGCCAATCTGTCCAGTTTTGGGGCGATGTTTCAGGTAGACCAGAGCATTTGGCAGGGCACCACCCGAATCTGCCAGCGCCCCGGCCAGGCACGCTGCCACACCGAAGCACTGCCATGCCTCTCTGTGCGCCAAATTACCCAACGTCAGCTTTGTCATTAGGCAAGATTTGAGGACAAAAGAACACGTTTGCTTCAAAACATTGATCTGCAAAAATAAATTGAATTACAGAAAGGCAAAATAATGCTGTTTGCTTTAGGGCACAGCTACATTTAGATTCTAATTTTCCTAGCGCAATTCGTTTAATCCAAGACTCAACAGCACAAAATGTCCTTGAACACAACAAAGACAGAGAAGCTTTTCTGTAACATGTACCCAAAGTTAATGAGACGAGAAAAGTGCTTTAAGGGGTGTACCTTTGTCCTATTTGCCTGTAGTGCAATATTCTATAAATGGATGCCATATGGTCATATACTTAATGGTATGTATTACTTTTCAAGTGGATGAGCCATTCAAAGACAAGTACGTCCCAGAGGATTGCTTTCTATAGCCTATGATTTAATTATTTGGTGCACGAGGCTTGCTGGTCCAAATTTAGTCATGGGAGTCAGCGAGTTACTTCAGAGAAACATCTGACCATACATTTGTATGTGTGTTTATGTGTTGTTAATATTTTACAAGGGATTAATTCAAAAGCACTATACTAGATATTTGTGAGGGTTTCAGCTGGATGCAGAACCCAGGTTCTGCTCCCAGCCCCATCAGCTGTGCCGAGTCCCAGCTCCGTAGCTGAGCAAGTAACTGGACAGATGTAATTTTACGTGCCGCAACATTGCTGTCCTTCATCCTTTGAGTCAGCTGAACCAATGCTGGTTCACACCTGCCTTGGGATGAATGGGGTATCCGATGGGCTTTGCTTTCATTCCTGCAGTTCACCGAGCCACGGTCCTTTTCTGTCCTTCACTCCAAGACAACCCCCTTCCCTGGAGCCCTCGTGCCCACCCCGGGGGAGACCTACCCAGCTTTTGGCCACGGTAGGACACGAATGCAGCTACGTGCCTCCCAACAGCCCGGCTGTACGTCTGGCCAGCTCAGACCACGGACCAAGCAGCTCCCTGCACCTTGTCACCGTGATACTTCTGTCATTCTCCAGGCCATGCCTAGCAATGTGTGTAACTGGTTTTGTGTGCAGGGGAGAGCCTGGCTTTTGGGGCTGACATACAGAAATGAAGCTCATCCTTCCCCCACCGGTGGTGCTTACACAGACTGTCCCGTTGAATTAAATGAAGCTCGCTCAGCACCTGGCCTAAAACCCAGGCAGAAATACCGACTGTTGCTTAGCATCATCACAACACTGAGAGCTAAAAATTTTCCTTTCTTCCTCTGCTGTTACTTCTCTGACCTTCATTAGTTCTGCAAGCACCAAATGCAGAGCCCATATGGAGACAGTTATCATAAAAAAATGAATCCTGGCCCCTTAATTAGCTCCTCATTATCTGAGAGCTCCATATTGAAGCGTTAAGATGTTGCAAAGCAATTTGTTGAGTTTCCAATTAAAACTTTTTAGAATTGTTGAGCCTTTTAATACTTTGTGTTTACAAATTGCCTTGGACCTACACCAATACACACATTTTCTTCACTGGGGAAATATAGCTGAGGAGCTGATAGTTATTAATAGAAAATCCTTGGTTTTAATAAAGTCATAAACCATGTCAATGGAGCTGCTCTTTTTATACCTGATACAATAGAGATGACTCTCTCTGAATGAGTGCAGAAGAGTAAGAATCATTAAGAGGGCAATTATAGGCTGATTTCCTAATAACTCCACTTCTTTTACAACACTGTAAAAACAAAGGTACACATCCCTCTTTATATTAATTTACCCTGGATGTGTTCTTACCAGATGACGGTAGGTGCCGAGACCCTCCAGTTCTGCAGGGGTGAAAAAGGAGTTAGCAAGGCTCAGCTCCTCCCAACAGCACATTGCAGGATCAGGCCCGTCATGAATAAATAAAAGCCAGATGGGCATGGATTACATTCACTCTATTGTGCAAGCTGTTAGCTGGAGGAGTGCCGCTACCAGATACGAACACGGGAGAAAAATGGCTCTCTGCTACGAAGCACGGAGTCGCACAGGCTTCGCCTGGGTTCCTCAGATGAGTCTATGGCCTGATCTACTGTGGTGGCCAAAAAAATGGGGAGGTGGGTGTCTCCCCAAATGTCAATGGGG